CTGGAGTATTTTTGCTGATGGTGTCACCGGTGGTACAATTTTTCAAAGGAGCCCTCAATTGGCTTAATGTCATGGCATTTTGCATCCTCCTCTACTAGTGATGGTCTAAAATTTGGGGGCCAACAGAGGTGAGGCAAAGAACCTCACCCCCCCACAGGTGCAAAGGCCTATCCACAAGTATGGCTGTATGCTGGACCGGTAGTCAGTGACGGGTATGATCCAATTGCAGTGGTACCAACCTAAGAAAGGAGGCTGACGCCTAGAGGTCAATTCATCCGATGACGGGTAAAGACCATATGTTGAATTGGACTGCCTAACAGGCACGGTCCCTAAGCCACATGCTTGTTGTTTAAACAGAGAGGGGGAAATGTTGAGAGCCACAGCCTAAAGGGCCCCAGCAAACTTCCAGCTGCCAGCAAACTTCCAGCTGCCGGCTGATGATTGGCTCACAGCAGCCCCAGCAACATCTAGCTGATTGGCTCCTCGGCCCCAGCAACATCTAGCTGATTGGCTCCTCTGCGGTGATGCTCATTGGACTGTTTCCCTGCCCTTTCAGACCACGGAGCTACTCATTGGGGGACTTTTTTGGCTCCGCCCATATGACCCAGCCAATCGGCCTCAAGAGCAGGAGGATTGTGGGAGGTAGAGAGAAGCTTGTGTGGGAGAGAGAGGCTTATGGAAAGCCGGTAATAGCAGTTGAGGCTCTGAAGGTTTTTCCTGAGAAGCTGTTTTGTTTGGCGTGTGTGGTTCTAAAAATAAAGTTAGTTTCTTTTGACAAGTGGCTCCTGATTGTGCCCAGCCAGACTGCGGCAAAATGAAGGGAGCTCTATCACTAAGCTACATCCTCAATATTTTTTATTTATTTATTTTTTATTTTGAGACAGGGTCTCACTAAATTGCCTAGGCTGGCCTTGAACTTGAGATGCTCCTGCCTCAGCCTCCCAAGTAGCTGGGATTACAAATGTGCACCACCATGCCCAGATCGATGACCACCTTACATATCAAAATCACTGACAGAAAGCACATAAATTTGAAAAAAAAAAGTGGCGCTAAATAGTCCACAATTTGTTTAGAGCTTCTTAGACATTTGTTTAGAGCTTGGCAGTTGAAACAAGAAATCAGTATATTACCTGGTAGGACCTTAGCTGTGAGCATGTACTTGCACTAAGTCAAATTTTCCACCATTCTGGACATGTTTGTGAATGACCATGAAAACCCTGTATTGATTTTGAGATTATAAATATGTTTTAGCAAGTAGGCAAGTTTGTAAATAAAGAATTTGGGAATAATGAGGAATGAATGTGTCTTCTTAATAAATTTTAGTCTTGAGCTGGCAACATTTGAATAGAATTTTCTTCTTTCAAGTACACCAGGGAGGAGGCTAGATCACCTTTGCTTAGTCAACCAGGATGTCACCTGCTCCCACCAACCACGGATGCCATTCTTTATCATCTTTCTCAGTCCCTGAATGAATGAAAAATTGGATAACACTGGAATATAATACATATCTTATGATTCTCTTTGTGGCCCTCCTTGGGTGATTTTATTTTAGCTGATCTATACATTTGGACAGACTATAAATTAAACTTTGGTGTAAACAGGGAAAAGTGGAATGTCTAGAAAAAATAGTCATTTCTTACCCAGAAATATCTATCAGTTCCAATCTTTCTCAGAGGGGAACACCTGAGGAATATTTCCTTCTTAGAGAAAAGTAATTGAAAAGTAATCTTTGAGTACCAGGTTGGATTAATGATTTTGCAATACCCAAAAAGAGCCTTAGGTGAATGAACAAATTATACAGGTATAAGCGAATCAGGCAGAAGTGATAAAAAATGAGCCAAATGTTTACTTCTGAAATATCTTTCTTTTCTGAATTATAATAATTGGAAACAAGAAAGAACACTCATAAGTAAAATTCTAGCATATTATTTTTTAAATCTCTGACATAAACATATACATTTGTGTGGGAAGATGATATCAAAATTATTTAGAAAAAAAGAGACTATTTTGTAAAGAAAGCATAACAGCAATGTCATCAAACTAAACCAGGAAATAATTATGATGCAGAACAAAGAATATGTACTGATAATATTTAATGACTCATAGAAGAAGCTATAATAGATTCTCCCCTCCTGCAGTTTATAGCATTAGACATCACACTTTTCTTGGCACCCCACTTTTCCTTATTCAATTCAACACAGGAACCTGTCAAATTCTTTGCTTCCAGCTACTACTCACTGAAAAAGAAAAACTTCAAAATACCAGAACACTCATGTTAACATTTTCTGACAGCTTAATAGAAACATAGCACTTGGCCCAGAAGCTATCATCACATGTGGAGGCATAAGCTAGACAGAAACTTTCAATGTCAAGTGTGTTGTCAAGAGACAAGAAATGGAACTTAACATAGTGTAGAAGTCCTCCCAGGGTGTGCCCTGGGGTGAGGAGTGAGACAAATTGCTAATCAGAAATAAAATAGTGACACAGGTGCTTGGAGAAAGACAAGCCTGGCAAGACCGTAGGATCTCAGAGGGAAAGAATGTAGTCAGAGGGCGGTTCAGAGACTTCCTGGATCAGCTAGTGTACACACTGAGAAAATACGGCAATGTGGAGACTCAGAAACTGAGCTACCCAGATTCATCTGAAATAGAAAGTGCACACGTGGGGTTGAAGAGAGATGACTAGGCAGGTAGGCAAGGGCCTAATCTTGGGGGCCTTATATGCCAGGCTAAGACGTTTGTCTTTGTTCAAAAGGCAAAGGGGACCCATGATGACATTTTCAGTCATGGGGGAAGATCAGAGAATCATGAGTGTGTGTCTTAGTCCATTTTATGTTGCTATAATAAAATATCACAAACTGAGTAAATTATAGACAATAGAAGGTAGGATCCAACAAACTATACAGTCCCTTCTCCAAGATCTTCACAAAAGCCAGGAGAACCTAACATATAACAGAATGGAGATTAGAGTTTTGGATGAGGTCTTGACTGAGCTACTGTAGTTCATATATATATCTTTATATCTTTATTTTATTTTTATGTGTTGCTAAAGATATATATATATATATATATAATATATGTATATATATACATATATATATATCTTTATTTTATTTTTATGTGTTGCTAAGGATTGAACCCAGTGCCTCATGCATGCTAGGTGAGCACTCTGCCACTGAGCCACAACCTCAGCCCCTATAGTTCTTATTCATATATCCAGAAGCATTATATACTCTGAGAATGTACTGGGAGCCTATGGTTGTACTGAACACTGTGTAGCCAGGTATGCAAGTTGTATCTTCAGTGGCTCTCCACTGCTCTCAACACAGAATCCAAGCTCCTTAGCACGGAGCACTACCCAACTCAAAATGGCTCCTTTACACTGAGAACTGCTCCCTACTAACCCCAGCCACGGCAGCATGTTAATATGGCTTAGCATGGACTCCAGGTAAGAGTTTGGTAGACCAAAGGTGGTTCCAATGTGACCCTCTGCCAGGAATATTTATCACCTCAACCATCTCCCGTCCCTCAAATACTGAGATAAAATGAAGCTTTAGTAAATGACAGTGGGCATAGGTGCAAATGATGTGTCAAACAGGAAAAAACTGCTCCACAGGTTATGGTTTTATTGATCTGTGGCTACTAATCAGGTTTATATCTAATTTTGCAATCTATTCTAATGTTCTTTTTTACATTGAATATATAAACAGATCTTTCAAATTTTTCTTTACCATCTTATAAATCTTTGATGAACTCTATTTTTTAAGTTATAGTTTGACAAAAAGCTAACTTCCTACATACTACATTTCTATATGAAAACATGGTAAAAATAGGCCTGAGAAGAGTTCACTAAGACAGTGCAAAGTTTTAACTCCAAAATGCTTATCAGCAAGAGACTTTTACAATGTTTCCACAAGAGATGCAGCTCTCCCAGTATCTGCAATTTCTGAGAGCATTTTCCTGACCTACCAGGGTCACTTCAGACTGGTATAAGTCAGGATCTTTGAGAGACTCAGCTCAAACAACCAACTACCACTTTATCGAATCCGAAAGAAAGTTTAGAATAAGCCCAGATTGTTCTACCTGGCTTCCAATCTTGTCCCCACTTACACTATTACTCACATCTGCCTGATGAAACTATAGGGCCATCGACCTGGAATCATAAGTTAAAGATAGGACTCTGCTCACTTGCAACCCTCAGGTCTTTGGGCAAGTCCTCAACTAGTTAATTCTTCTGGATCTCAATATCCACATCAGCACAACAAAGCGATATCATTTTACTTTTCAGGATTGTTGAAAAAAATCGCAATCAGCCGGTAGTTCACACGTGTCAGCTACAGAAATCTTAAAAACAAACAATCAAACACCAGTCTTACTTGGATCCCATAGCTTGAGCACCAGATTTAAAGGGCATTCGTGATTTTTTTTTTTTTTAATTCTTTCCCAAAGAAAATACTTTGTAAGAGCTTTGGCAGAACTCAAAAATAGGCACAGATTTGACATGAAAATGTTGATTTAAAATATTTCAGAGGCCATTCCTGATCCTCAGGCAACATTCCAGGTCTGTAAATCTCTCCTGCTTGGGGGTGAATAACGAGGTTATTTTTAACCCCTCAACTGTGACCCCCACTGCCTATATCTAAGGCTGGGACTGCCCATCAGAGCTCACGGCTGGACCACAGGGGGAAGTGGCCCCTCCTTGCCAGTCTCCGCAGGACACTCGGACTGAACCCTAGTAGGGCGCCCGGTGCCCTGGCGGTCGCAGCGTTCGCAGCGTCGGGTGTTCCGTAGACAACGTCCTCTTCTCCTGAGCGCTAGGGCGCCCGGGGACAGCGCGCGCTGCGCCCATTCACGCCTCCCCGGCCTGAGCACCGTCGCCCAGTGCCCGGGGGCGCCTCTGTCACGCGCCGGGGACCCTCCAGCTGCACAGGTCAGTCCGACCCGTGCGCCCCGCGGTCCCTCCTTTCCTGGCAGCTTTCCCGCGCCTCGGCCCCGCCCCAAACCCGGACCACGCCCCCAGCCTCGGCCCCGCCCAAGTCGCGTGCTACATCCTGACCCCGTCCCTGTCCCGTCCCCGTCCAGTTCCGTCCTCGCCGGGGCTCGCGATAGCTACCATGGCAGGGAGGCTGACCCGTTGCTGGAGTCCGAGGTAAGGTTGACGCCTCGGCCGCCGGGCCCAAAGTCGCCTGCCGGACACCGCTGCCCTTGAGGGGTTGCCTCCCGCCAGTCTCGCGGGAGCCGCGCTGTTGTCTGGTCTGGGCGGCTGCAGGGTTTCGCCTTCGTGGTTTTCCAGCGAGAGGGTGACCTTCACAGCGTGCCTTCCTCCTCCGCTGGGCCCAGGAGAGTCAGGATGCATCCTCTGGAGGCCGGGGACTTCGGAGGACCTCTCTTTGGAGGGTCCCCCAGGCCTCCGCCCGCTTCCGCGCCTTGCGCGCGCGCCCATCCGAAACTGGCTCCCGGTGGGAGGGCCGCCCCCGCTGCTCGGGTACTTACCCGGGTGCCCGGGCCTGCCAGCTCACCCTGGGAACTTCTAGGGTGCACAGTGTCTTTTGATAAACTGAGTAGAGCGATGAAACACGGGTTTGCTTGTTTGCTGAGCGCTGTAGAAAAGCCCTTGTCACCAAAGTGGGCTGGAAACTCTGCTTCTTTTGGAGAACACACGAGTTATAATGTCAAACAAGTAATGTTACATGTCCTGACTGTAAACCACCCAAAAAGAATCTGTGTACGAAACAAAACCTGGAACTTGGTGATTGCTTTGAAGTGGTGGAATTATGAGCGATCTTATTATCTTAAATGGTCGTAATTTTGCAATATGTTTTTAAGACCCAGGCTTCATTTTAAAATAGCTAAGTTGACACCACATTTGATGGGAAGTTGCATATTTAAGCCCATTGAAGACATTTTAAATTGTTCTTGATTTTCTACTTGAAATTTTCCCCGTGCCAAATTCAGGTAAATTGAGCCCCCCCCCCACTTTTTTGTGGGGGGTGGGGGGAATTATTGTAAGCGGATTTTACAGAATTCCTGATATCCCAGGATTTAAACCTTGAGGTCATTGTACCATTTGCCAGTAACATAAATGCAAAGAAGGTGATGATGATTGCTAGGTTTGGGCTTTATTTGTATCTATTATTTTAATTATTTTTAATGCCCTTAACTTTATTATTCAGGGTCATCATTGTGAACGTCCAATTTTTTGCTTCTGGCCTCAGTACTGTGCTTTGAAGTTCACCATCTCACTTGGGTGCTTAAAAACTTAACCCCCTGCCTTGCTTGCTGTTTCTGCTCTGCGCCTGTCTGTCTTGTATCCTGACTGTGAGGATGGAGTACACTTGCTGAGCCTGCTTCACTGACTACTTTCCTGCACAGGTAGATTCCTTCCTACCTTCCTGAGAAGAGGTGTGTGGAATGCCAACTGTTCATCTGTCCTTTTGGACATTTCTTGTGTCTTCCTCCTTCCACTGTGTGTATGTTGGGACAAGTGTTTTGTCGCCTAGAATTGACCTGATAATAGTTACATATGACTAATCAGTGAGTGCAGAGGCCGTTTCAGGACCTTAGGACTCACCACTAAGTTCTGTGCATCCTAATCCCTTGTTCTGCCGGCTTCTGTCTTAAGTGCATTTCATTTATTTCTTGCCTGTAACAAAATTTACATGGACAAACTTTCCTGCTGGTGGTTTTGAATTGCATACAAATGCCTTGCTGAAATGCAGATTTTTTTTCCATTATTTTAAAATTATGGGCTGGGAATGTGGCTCAGTGTTCGAGTGCCCCTGAGTATAACACCCAGCATCACCACCCCCCCCCCAAAAAAAAAAAAACAAACCTCCATGATCTTAAAATTACTACAATTAGCTTCTATGTTGGTTTCTCTTCCTGGGACAAGTATAAAGAAAATATTTACACAGCATTTTGGCATGTGTATGTGGTGAGAACAGTAAGATATAAGACTGCAGAAATATGACTGGAAATAAATAGAATCAGGCTATTTGTAGTCTTCTGCAGGTCCTTCACTTCCCAGTAGTTCAGCTGCACATGAGCAGAACAGCAATGAGAGCCAGTGAGAAGGACTTTGAAAATGCAAGCAATCAATTGAAACTCTTGACGAAGGATCCAGGAAATGAAGTGAAGCTAAAACTGTATGCCCTGTATAAGCAGGTAAATGCCTAAAGTCTGACATTATTTAGAGACATTTTGAGCAAATGACTCCTTAAATACATTTGCTGTAGGTCTACTAAAATGCAATTTAATATTTTGAGTGTATGGTTGCCTTTTGTCTGAAGAGTATAGATTGGCTGTTTGTGTGTGTGTGTGTATGTGTGTGTGTGTGTTTTGGGACTTGAAATACTAGTAGGGCATAACGTAACACCTCAGGGTCACTCCAAAGCATAAGAGATTTTAAAAATATAACATTCAAATGTGTAGACCTTATTTGACTCCTGATTAGAATAAATCAACTAAAAAGTTACTTTGAGACAGCTGGGGAGATTTGAATATAGACCGAGTTTTAGAAACTATATAGGATTTATTGTTTTTTTTTATTGGTTGTTCAAAACATTACAGAGCTCTTGACATATCATAATTCATACATTAGATTCAAGTGGGTTATGAACTCCCATTTTTACCCCAAATACAGATTGCAGAATCACATCAGTTACACATCCACATTTTTACATAATGCCATATTAGTGACTGTTGTATTCTGCTACCTTTCCTATTCTCAACTATCCCCCCTCCCCTCCCCTCCCATCTTCTCTCTCTACCCCATCTACTGTAATTCATTTCTCTCCTTGTTTATTTTCCCATTCCCCTCACAACCTCTTATATGTAATTTTGTATAACAATGAGGGTCTCCTTCCATTTCCATGCAATTTCCCTTTTCTCTCCCTTTCCCTCCCACCTCATGTATCTGTTTAATGTTAATCTTTTCCTCCTGCTCTTCCTCCCTGCTCTGTTCTTAGTTGCTCTCATTATATCAAAGAAGACATTTGGCATTTGTTTTTTAGGGATTGGCTAGCTTCACTTAGCATAATCTGCTCTAGTGCCATCCATTTCCCTGCAAATTCCATGATTTTGTCATTTTTTAGTGCTGCGTAATACTCCATGGTGTATAAATGCCACATTTTTTTTATCCATTCATCTATTGAAGGGCATCTGGGTTGGTTCCACAGTCTAGCAATTGTGAATTGTGCTGCTATGAACATCGATGTGGCAGTATCTCTGTAGTACGCTCTTTTAAGGTCTTCAGGGAATAGTCCGAGAAGGGCAATAACTGGGTCAAATGGTGGTTCCATTCCCAGCTTTCCCAGGAATCTCCATACTGCTTTCCAAATTGGCCACACCAATTTGCAGTCCCACCAGCAATGTACAAGAGTACCCTTTTCCCCACATCCTCGCCAGCACTTGTTGTTGTTTGACTTCATAATGGCTGCCAATCTTACTGGAGTGAGATGATATCTTAGGGTGGTTTTGATTTGCATTTCTCTGACTGCTAGAGATGGTAAGCATTTTTTCATGTACTTGTTGATTGATTGTATGTCCTCCTCTGAGAAGTGTCTGTTCAGGTCCTTGGCCCATTTGTTGATTGGGTTATTTGTTAACTTATTGTCTAATTTTTTGAGTTCTTTGTATACTCTGGATATTAGGGCTCTATCTGAAGTGTGAGGAGTAAAAATTTGTTTCCATGATGTAGGCTCCGTATTTACCTCTCTTATTGTTTCTCTTGCTGAGAAAAAACTTTTTAGTTTAAGTAAGTCCCATTTGTTGATTCTTGTTATTAACTCTTGTGCTATGGGTGTCCTATTAAGGAATTTGGAGCCCGACCCCACAATATGTAGATCGGAGCCAACTTTTTCTTCTATCAGACGCAGAGTCTCTGATTTGATATCAAGCTCCTTGATCCATTTTGAGTTAACTTTTGTGCATGGCGAGAGGAGGGGATTCAGTTTCATTTTGTTGCATATGGATTTCCAGTTCTCCCAACACCATTTGTTGAAGATGCTATCCTTCCTCCATTGCATGCTTTTAGCCCCTTTATCAAATATAAGATAGTTGTAACTTTGTGGATTAGTCTCTGTGTCCTCTATTCTGTACTATTGGTCCCCCCGCCTGTTTTGGTACCAGTACCATGCTGTTTTTGTTACTATTACTCTGTAATATAGTTTGAAATCTGGTATCGCTATACCACCTGATTCACACTTCCTGCTTAGAATTGCTTTTGCTATTCTGGGTCTTTTATTTTTCCATATGAATTTCATGATTGCTTTATCTATTTCTACAAGAAATGCCGGTGGGATATTGATTGGCATTGCATTAAACCTATAGAGAACTTTTGGTAATATCGCCATTTTGATTATGTTAGTTCTGCCTATCCATGAACAGGGTATATTTTTCCATCTTCTAAGATCTTCTTCTACTTCTCTCTTTAGGGTTCTGTAGTTTTCATTGTATAAATCTTTCACCTCTTTTGTTAGGTTGATTCCCAAGTATTTTATTTTTTTTTTGAGGATATTGTGAATGGAGTTTCAGAAGTTTTGTGGCTGATATACAGAAATGCATTTGATTTATGCGTGTTGATTTTTATATCCTGCCACTTTGCTGAATTCATTTATTAGTTCTAGTAGTTTTTTTGTAGACCCTTTTGGGTCTTCTAGGTATAGAATCATATCGTCCGCAAATAGTGATAATTTAAGTTCTTCTTTTCCTATTTTTATGCCTTTAATTTCTTTCGTCTGTCTAATTGCTCTGGCCAGTGTTTCAAGAACTATATTGAATAGAAGTGGTGATAGAGGGCATCCCTGTCTTGTTCCAGATTTTAGAGGGAATGCCTTCAATTTTTCTCCATTCAGAATGATGCTAGCCTGAGGCTTAGCATAGATAGCTTTTACCATTTTGAGGTAAGTTCCTGTTATCCCTAGTTTTTCTAATGTTTTGAACATAAAGGGATGCTGTACTTTGTCGAATGCTTTTTCTGCGTCTATCGAGATGATCATATGGTTCTTATCTTTAAGTCTATTGATGTGGTGAATAACATTTATTGATTTCCGTATATTGAACCAGCCTTGCATCCCAGGGATAAATCCTACTTGATCATGGTGCACAATTTTTTTGATGTGTTTTTGTATCCGATTCACCAGAATTTTATTGAGGATTTTTGCATTTAGGTTCATTAGAGATATTGGTCTATAGTTTTCTTTCTTTGAGGTGTCTTTGTCTGGTTTCGGAATCAGGGTGATGTTGGCCTCATAGAATGAATTTGGAAGAGCTCCCTCTTTTTCTATTTACTGAAATAACTTGAAAAGTATTGGTATTAATTCTTCTTTAAAGGTTTTGTAAAACTCCACTGTATACCCATCTGGTCCTGGGCTTTTCTTGGTTGGTAGTCTTTTGATTGCTTCTTCTATTTCATCCATTGATATTGGTCTGTTCAAATTGTGTGTATCCTCCTGACTCAGTCTGGGCAAATCATATGACTTAAGAAATTTATCGATGTCTTCACTATCTTCTATTTTATTGGAATATAGGTTTTCAAAATAATTTCTAATTGTCTTCTGTATTTCTGTAGCATCTGTTGTGATATTGCCTTTTTCATCCCGTATGTTAGTAATTTGAGTTCTCTCTCTTCTTCTTTTCGTTAGCATGGCTAAGGGTCTGTTGATCTTATTTATTTTTTTGAAGAACCAACTTTTAGTTTTGTTAATTTTTTCAATAGTTTCTTTTGTTTCAATTTCGTTGATTTCCGCTCTGATTTTAATTATTTCTTGCCTTCTGCTACATTTGCTGTTGTTTTGCTCTTCCTTTTCTAGGGCTTTGAGATGAAGTGTGAGCTCATTTATTTGTTGTTTTTTTCTTTTTTTGAGGAATGACCTCTAGGTGATGAATTTCCCTCTTAAAACTGCTTTCATTGTGTCCCATAGATTCCGATATGTTGTGTCTGTATTTTCATTTATCTCTAAGAATTTTTTGATTTCCTCCTTTATGTCTTCTGTAACCCATTGATCATTCAGTAACATATTGTTCATTTTCCATGTGATGTAGGATTTTTCCTTCCTTCTTTTATCATTGATTTCCAGTTTCATTCCATTATGATCAGATAAAATGCATGGTATTATCTCCACCCCTTTATATTTACTGAGGGTTGCCCAATGGCATAATATATGGTCTGTTTTTGAGAAGGATCCATGTGCTGCTGAGAAAAAAGTATATCCACTTTATGATGGTTGATATATTCTATATATGTCAGTTACGTCTAGGTTATTGATTGTGATATTGAGTTCTATAATTTCTTTATTCAACTTTTGTTTGGAGGATCTGTCCAATGGTGAGAGAGGTGTGTTGAAGTCACCCATAATTATTGTGTTGTGGTCTATTTGATTCTTGAACTTGAGGAGAATTTGTTTTATGAATGTCGCAGCACCATTATTTGGTGCATAAATATTGATAATTGTTATGTCTTGTTGATGAATGGTTCCTTTTAACAGTATATAATGTCCTTCCTTATCCCTTTTGATTAACTTAGTCTTGAAGTCGATTTTATTCGATATGAGGATGGCCACCCCTGCTTGCTTACGAGGACCGTGTGTGTGGTATATTTTTTCCCAACCTTTCACCTTCAGCCTGTGTATGTCTTTTCCAATCAGATGTGTCTCCTGGAGGCAGCATATTGTTGGATTTGTTTTTTTAATCCATGTTACCAGCCTATGTCGCTTTATTGGAGAGTTTAAGCCATTAACGTTTAGAGTTACTATTGATATATGGTTTGTACTTCCAGTCATGTTTGATTATTTATCTTCTTCTTTTTTTTAATTTAGTTTGTTTCTCCATGATTAGCTTTCCCCCCGCCCTCTGTCTTTACTGAGGCACTTCCCACTGATGGTTTTGGTTATTGTTTTTCATTTCTTCCTCATGTAGTGTTTTGCTCAAGATGCTTTGCAATGCTGGTTTTCTGGCTGCAAATTCTTTTAACTTTTGTTTATCATGAAAGATTTTTATTTCGTTGTCATACCTGAAGCTTCATTTTGCTTGATACAGAATTCTTGGTTGACATCCATTGTCTTTCAGTGTTTGAAATACGTTGTTCCAGGATCTTCTCGCTTTCAGCGTCTGTGATGAAAAATCCGTTGTTAACCTTATTGGTTTACCCCTGAATGTAATCTGCCTCCTTTCTCTTGTAGCTTTTAATATTTTCTCTTTGTTCTGTATATTGGATATCTTCATAACAATGTGTCTTGGCATTGGTCTACTGTGATTTTGTATGCTCGGTGTCCTGTATGCATCTACAATTTGTATATCCGTTTACTTTTTTATTTCTGGAAAGTTTTCTGTAATTATTTCATTCAGCAGGTTACTCATTCCCTTAGTTTGAATCTCTATACCTTCCTCTATCCCGATGACTCTTAAGTTTGTTTTTTTTATGTTATCCCATATCTCTTGGATGTTTTTCTCGTGATTTTTTACCAGCCTTTCTGAGTTGGCTAGACTCTTTTCAAGATGATATATTTTGTCTTCATTATCTGACGTTCTGGCTTCTACTTGCTGCACTCTGTGATACTCTCATTTGAGTTTTAATTTGGTTTATAGTTTCCTTCATTTCTAGAATTATTGTTTGATTTTTTTTTTATAATCTCTATCTCCTGATAAAGATGCTTAACTTCTTCTTTTATCTGTTTATGTAATTCAATTTCAATGTGTTCTTTCACTGTTTGAATTTGCTGTCTCATATCCTCTTTAAGGTTCCATTCCATCTGTCTAAGGTATTCCTTGAGTTCTTTATATGACCATTTTTCTGATGACTCTAGGTCCTCCTGAATATTTAGGCTTTCCTGTATTGTTTGTACTCCTTTTCTTCCTTGCTTTTTCATGCTGCTCATGTTACTTCTTGTTCTGTTTGACTGCTGAGTTACTGTTTACTCCTATAAATTTATTTGATGCTTGGGAGGAAAGGTATTAGAAGGGAAGGGAAGAAGTCACTAAAGAGAATGAGAGTAAGCAGGTAGAATTCAAGGAAGGGGGAATAAGAAAATTGAAAAGACAAAAGAAAAAAATAGAAAATAAAAAAAGAAAAAAATAATTTAAAAAAAATTAAAATTAAAATTTTAAAAAAATTTTAAAAAAAGAATTTTTAAAAACAACAAAAAAATGAAAATGAAAAAAAAACCCAAATTAAAAAAAATTATTAAATGCAGTCTTAGAGTTTGATTAACTTCTCTTCCAGTAGGTGGAGCTGTGCCCACCGGGCCAAGCTTCTCCTCTCGATATGCGGGAACCAATCACTGTGCAGCAGCTCCTCCTCCCAGACTGGGCAGTGTCCAATCCTGAGTGCCTAGGGCCTTCTCTTGTGTCTAGTCACTTCCCCACTTTTCCTCAAGCCAGGCCCCGCTCACCGGTGACGCTCACCACAATACTGGCTACACGCCAGGTCTGCTGCTCCCGGGAGCCCTGTTTTCATGTACGACTGGGCACACTCTCCCTGTTTGCCATTCCCTCAGACCCTAAGTTTGTAGAGCTTGGGGCTGAGAACGCTCAGTGAAATTTGCTTGCCCTCCGGTAGCCATGCCCCAGGTAGCTGGTGCAAGAGACCTCAGTTGTCAGCACTGGTGGGAGCGGTAGCCGGGAGTTCCGCGCCACGGGTCCTGCGCCACTCCTGATTCCCTCGGTCTGGCTATCGCGCACATAGGAGAGCTGGGAGGGCCCCTTAAGGTTTCCCCGCTGTGTGGAGAGGGAAGGCTAGGGGGCTACACACCTGTCGCCGCTGGTTTCAATGAAGTTATCTCCTCTGCCGCGTTCTGGTGACATCAGTTCTCTGCCATGGTGGTATCCCATGCAAATAGGATTTATTGTTAATGATGTCATAGTTATCTAAGAAAATGTAACTGTTTTATAAGAAATGTATACTCAATGTGGAGGGGTGAGGTAGCCTGATGTTTGGGATTCATTAAAAATAGCCAAAAAGAAAGAAAATAGATGAAGCAAAGGAAAAATTTGAAAATTGTTCAATTTGAGCAGTGGAGTATTAGGGACTCATTTTAATATTATACTTTGGTTTGTGTTTGAAATTTTTTATAGCAAATTGAAAAAACCAAAGCTTTGAAGGTATAATGCCAAAGACTTCCCTGGCACGTCTGCCACTCTGGTCTCCTGTGTTTTTTTTCTGTTAGATGATTGGCATGAACTTTGCCACACAAGGTTTTGCCCCCTCCGATTTGGGGAGATAATCTCTAAACCCTTGAACTATATATTCTTGATTGGCATGCCTTTGTGTGCCTGGACAGTCTCACATTGTGGTAGGGCCTCACCAGCTATAAACAATACAGGGAGGGGCTTCAGTTTGTCTGATGATGCTTGCATGATACAGACCTGGTAAAAACTCTGGACATAAAAGCTGAAATGAGCTTCTCTGTTTGGCAAGACTCTGTGAATATTGTCACACATAGATTCTGAGTTACACTGTCCTGACTCCCTGAGGAGAGGACAACAGAATTGCCACATTTGCTTCCGCTATGAACTCTGTCCTGTGTGCTTTTTCCCTTGACTGATTTTAATCTGTATCCTTTTCTGTAAAAAACTGTAACCGTGAGTGTAACAGCTTGCAGTGGGTTCTGTGACTTTTTCTAGTGAATTATTGAACCTGAGGGTAGTCTTGGGAATATCCGCCCCCCACACCTCAAAAACTGGTGTCAGAAGTGAGAGTGGTCAGCCAATAAGGTCAAACCCTTATCTTATGGATTCTGTTCCCTCCAGCTTTTCAGATGGCTCACTTGCAGGATGACTCAGTCATTATTCTTTACTCCCTTTCCTCTTTTACTGTCTTACAAAATTTAGAAATTTTTACATGGAATTTTAAATTGCAATTTCTAAGAAGTAGCTGAACAGGATGTTTTATTTATCTCAAGACACCCACTTCACCTAACCTCAAGTAAATAAACTATAATTGCTCTTTGCTTTTCACTGACATGTCCTTCAGTGAAGTTTCCTGAGAGCTAGTGGTTCCGACAGCCCACACCCCTCCCTCCACCAGCTACAATTCTGTTGTCCACTTACCAGAAATCTGCCACCCAAGCAGTGTGGTTTTTGCTCCTGTAGATGGGCTTTCAGAATGTACTGTGGGTTTCCAAATGTTTGTTGGCTAGTTCTTTTGAAAATGGTTGGCTTGAATGTTTTTGTGAAATATATGATCATCAGTGTAAAAATAAGGAACTATTAGAATTTTTCAGATAGCACTTTCCCAGAGCCTTTTTCTTGCATTATTTCCATATGCAGGTAGTTATAACTTATTTTAGGGACTAATCCAATAGCACCTTTTCTCTCTCCAGTCTTTTTTTGTGTGTGTTTTAAGCAACAATATTTAAAAAAAAAAAAAAAAAAAAAAGAGGGTGAGAGGAGAGTTCAGGTGATTCTATATAAAATGTATATTTTATATTTATATGGGGGGAGACATTCATGCTATCTGTGGATTTTATGGATCTTAAATATTTAGGGCTCCAATTTTCATGGACATTTGGCCATTAATCACCCCTCTCCTCTTCATAGGCCACTGAAGGACCTTGTAACACACCCAAACCAAGCATGTTGGACTTCATCAATAAAGCCAAATGGGATGCATGGAATGCCCTTGGCAGTCTGCCCAAGGTGAATTTACTTGTTATACTCTGTGGGGTTTTTTTTGTTTTGTTTTTGTTTTTGTTTTTTGAGACAGGGTCTCACAAATTGCTTAGGACCTCGATAAGTTGCTGAGGCTGGCCTTGAACTTATGATCCTCCTGCCTCAGCCTCCCAAGCCACTGAGGTTACAGACATGTGCCACCACACCCAGTTGCCTTTTATTTTCTTTGCTAGACATCTAAAGAAGCTTGGTGCTTCTCACCAAGCCATCATCAACAGAGCCTTTGAACTCTTTTATTTATTGCAGCCTGCTAATCATTAGCATATTATGTTTCTCAAAGTGCTTATTCATTGACTGTCAGCTGAACCTCTTTGTCATCTACTCTTCAGGAAACTGCCAGGCAGAACTATGTGGATTTGGTGTCCAGTTTGAGTCCTTCGTCTGAGTCTTCTAGCCAAGTGAAGCCTGCAGCAGCCAACGAGAAACAACCGGGATCTGAAAACATCATAGTGACCTCTCAAGATGGCATCACAAAGATCATGTTTAACCGGCCCACCAAAAAAAACGCCATCACCACTTCGGTAATGTTCCCTGCCCTGCGAGTGTGTCCTGTTTTTCTTTTCCTCTTCTTTTCTTTGTTCCACTCAAAAAAAAAGAAAAAGAAAAAGAAACTGTTGAGCTTCAACATTATTTCTACTTTAAAAATGTCTCTGGTTTGGTTTGTTCAGGATCATTAATAGTGGCCACTGTTTTCTTCGGATTGGCCATGTTTTGTTGAGGATTTGTGAGTTTTGGGTCGGAGCAATGTATCCAAAGGGCACTGAGATTTTCCTATGAATAGAAGCACAAATCAGTTAATATAAATGAAATATGTGTTGATACAAGAGCATATGCAGAGAGGCACTCTGAGATTAGTATAAACTGCCCCCCAAAAGTGTCTGACTGTCAGTTGGACTTTTCTGCTCTTACGGATTTTATTTTATAAGAGTAGAGGAGAAAAGGACAAATGACTTTATCTTCAGTAAACCAAAACCCCACTGTGCTCTACCAGGACAACTTTGAATTTGTCCCTGAACTAGAAAGATAACAAAATAAGGACTTCAGCCCCTTCCCCCATGAAATAAATTACAGGGAATTTATCCAGTGCTCAGTGGGATTATAACGATTGTGTTTCTGCAGTGTGGAACAGAGAACATACTGATCTGAAATATTCTTAAGTAAGCATTTCATGATTGTCATATAGTTGATAAGGCACTTAATTTTCAAAATTGTATTTCTGTTTACCCTAACTCGTTTCTATGTAACCCTGACACTAATAGCTAGTCTTCCCAGGTGCCTAATAAGGGTCGGCACTTTCTGCACAGAGCTGTATTTTTCACAAGAAGCCTACTACCGTTATTTAACAATTAAATAGACAAGAAGACACTTAAGTTCACATAGCTAAACAGCAAGAAAATCTAAAGTTATACTTATTCTAAATCTGGATTATGTCATTACTATAGTAAAGGAATTATTTCTTGTTCCCTTCCTCAGTGGAAATGACTACATCTTTGTTCATGCATTATGTAAAGTCTATACCTTAACTTTTTTCAGTGTTATTATATCCGTAAATATCAGCCCTCTTCATCATTCTTTCCCACATGGAAATGTCATCTACGATAGAGACTGCACCTACTTTATTTTTGTTAATATTTTTTAGTTGTTGATGTACCTTTATTTTTTTTAAATTTTATTTGCATATGGTGCTGAGGATCAAACCCAGTGCCTCACAAATGCTAGGCAAGTGCTCTGCCACTGAGCCACAACCCCAGCCCCCTGTACCTATTTTAAATGCATTAATAGCAATAGCAACATGTCCAAGATTTTCAGATGTGTTGCTGATTTAAAATTTAGAGGGCCTTGTCCTTGAATACTATTACAGTGGTTGGACATCTCAGCCTGTGGCATTCTTTACCACTTCCCAGACTGTCCAGGACACCTATTCTTTCTTGAGGTCACAGCAGGATACTGCTTTGTGGAAAATTTTCTCTGACCATCTCCTACGTCACCCATCCTCAACAAACCTCAGCACCTCCCATGAGCTTCATGCTGCTTCATGCTTTAGACCCTTGGCTCCATTTGAGCACAGTAATCTCCTGTATTAATTCTAAAAGCTTAAGGTCTGCATCCTTTTTGCTCACTTTAAAAACAAAGTGGTTTTAGCTCCTCTGCATCTATCAAAGTGCCTGGTATATTATATGCATCAAATAATTACAAAACAAATGAAAATCCTTTTAGGTATCGTGGTCCACTTTTTTTGAAGTGGGGGAACAGGTACCAGGGATTGAACTGAGGGCACTCAACCACTAAGCCACATCCCCAGCCCTTTTTTATATTTTTTAATTTAAGAGACAGGGTCTCACTGAGTTGCTTAGCACCTTGCTGTTGCTGAGGCTGGCTTTGAACTCATGATCCCCCTGCCTCAGCCTCCCGAGCCACTGGGATTACAGGGGTGCGGCACCATGCCCGGCATATTGGTCCATTTTTTGGCTGTTAAAATATAATCAATATAAAGGTTTGGTGAGAGCAGACTTGTACATTGACAGAGTGAGTCCATTGACTGATAGTTCTTATTTTCAGTGTTCTTTTCCTCATTTTCCCCTTCACATAGATGTATAAAGAAATTATTCATGCACTCAAAGCTGCAAGCACGGATAACTCAGCCATAACTGTTATTACAGGTAAGACATTTTCTTGGACTTCTTAATTAAATTTCTATTTTGGAGAGTCTTCCACTAAATAGGAAATTAAGTGAAAAAGTGTGAAGATGTTTTCCAGTATTGCAATGCTTTAATTTATAAATATATAACCATATAATAGACATGGGCTACCCACTCTTTAATAATTCAAGGATAAGCATGTATCCTAACATGGCTTGAACAAGAACCATCATGATGGCCTGATTCACAGTAGCCAAAGCAAAAGATGTCTTAAACCAGCTGGATAAATAAATCGTTGACTATTCATGCAATGGAATGCTACTCAGCAATAAAAAGTAACACATAACAGACACAAGAACATGGATGAGTCTTTAAAGCATATTTCAACAAAATAAGCCAATTACAAGAGTACATATTGTATCATTCACTTTATATAAAGGTTTGCAATAGACAAAAGTTCTAGTCTAAAGTGGTTGATGTCCTAAAGTGACTGCCTTGAGGCAGGTGGGATAGTGTAACTACAGAAAAGCCCCTGGGAACATTCTGGAATGATGGTATACCCCAAGTAATACCAAAATCTGCAGATGCTTAAGTTCCTTATATGAAATGGCACATTATATGCATAGAACGTATACACATCTGCCTGTAAACTTTAAATTATCACTTGATTATTTATAGTGCCTAATAAAATGTCAGTGCTGACATAATTGTCATACTATATATTAAGGAAAAAGAGTTGGTACGTGTTCAGTTCCTAGGCATTTTTTTCCAAATATTTTCTGTTGGTGAATCCACAGATGTGAAACCCACAGATATGGAAGGCTGACTGGGGAACAAAATATTATATACTAGTTTGGTTCTATTGCAAGGTTTGAGGCATCTGTGGAACATCTTGGAGGATAAGGAGTGGGGATCACTGTATCTTGTTTTGGATGGTGATCATGCAGGTAAATACAGTGATCAGAACTCATTAAACTGAACATTTAAGAACTGATCATTTTATTGTATGTAGATTATACTAATACTAGTGTGGTAATGTACACTTGTAATCCCAGTAACTTGGGAGGCTGAGGCAGGAGGATCACAAGTTCAAGGCCAGACTTAGCAACTTAAACCCTGTATCAAAATAAGAAATTAAAAGGGCTGGGCATGTGACTCAGTGGTGGAGCCCCTGGATTCAATACCCTGTACAAAAAAAAAAAAAAAAATACACAGGCACACACACACACACACATCTTCAATATATCTTAAAATAAAAAAGGACTTCTTAGTAGGATTTAGAAAGCCCAACAGTCTTGTCCTACTCATCTTCATTCTCTGTCTTCTTCCCCTGGCTATTTCTACGTCAGCCATGGTTATTTTTTCCAGCCCATTGTACACATGGGGTACACCCCTGTGTAGACCCTCAGCACATTAGTTCCCTCTGTGTGAATTTATTTCCTATTCTCTCCCTATCTAGCCTTGCCACTCCTCCAGATCTCAATTCAATTTTCCCTTTTTTTAGGAAAGTCCCTCCATTAACTCCCTGACTAGACCAAACTCATGATCCTTATTCGTATCATCAGACACCTCTCTTTTGTCTCTTAGTTACCTTCTCTACATTTGTGGGGAGTGGTTTTGGTTTTGCCATTATTGGGAATTAAACCCAGGGGCCCTTTACCACTGAGCTACACCCTAGTCCTGTCATTTTTTATTTCAAGACAGGATCTCGCTAACTTAACCAAACTGACCCCAAACTTGAGATCCTCCTACCTCAGCCTCCCAAGCTGCTGGGATTACAGGCCTGCACCTCTGTGCCTAACTTATTATTGTGTTTTAAAACCAATGTCCAGCTAATTTGCTGGTCTGTAAATTAGGACAAGAACCATAGCTGGTTCACCAGTGTATTTTCAATGCCTAGCACCTAGAGCTTGTACATAGTAGATTCTCGGGTGTTACAGAGCGAATGCATACATAAATGAATGGTGGTTGGTTTTCCTGTTTACAGGAAATGGTGATTATTACAGTAGTGGGAATGATCTGACTAACTTCACAGATGTTCCCCCCACTTCAATAGAGGAGACAGCTAAAAATGGTAGCATTTTACTAAGGTAAGAGTGACATTTGTCTGATCATGGAGTTCATTTTTATATTTATATCTTTATTTATAATTTATTTTTATGTGATGCCAAGGATTAAACCCAGTGCCTCACACATACAAGGCAAACTTTCAACCACTGAGCTATAGCCCAGCCCCCTGGGGTTCATTTTTATATATCAAAGTGGTATTTACTTGAGCAAAAGTGAAATGCCTACTTCTCTGCTGATACAGTTAACTGTGACTTTGAACAAGCTTATTTCTCCAAGTCTCTGATAGTAGGTGGGCATTCATTCTATCATTCTATCACCTGGACTTCTGTCCCCTGTCCATCTGGCCACTCTACATGAGATTGACTAGAAGGCAGGAGGTGAACTAGAATTGGAAATAAAATTCTCTCGTAATGAGGCAGGGGAACTTAGCACATTCTCCTCAGGTCAGGGCAATGGATGATTTCCATGAGTGCTGGTGACAGGAGGCTGAAGTAGTCTTGAAAGACACAGAAGACCTCTGTGAGAGCTTTGCTCTTTCTGTCCTCTCTGTCCCACTGAGTCTGAGTCCCACCATGCCGGGATAGCACAGCGTGTGCTCAGTCACCTGTCGTAATCTCTGAACTCACTGCCCATGGTACAGGATCTGAACGAGGTTTGGCCTGTAGGATTCGCTGCCGAGCTTCCATCAGGAGCCATACAGGGGGGTGTCCTTAGTGACTCTCGGGGGAAGACCAGGGAAGTGGCCAGGCAGGGAGCACTGCTGGCTGGTGTGTATATTTTATTTTGAGCCAGGGTCTCAAATTTATTCTCAGATTCAAACTTCCTTGCCTGCTTGGAACATTTAATGCTTTTCTGTTTCTTTTTTCATAGGGATTTTGTAGATGCTTTTATAGATTTTCCTAAGCCTCTGGTTGCAGTGGTAAATGGCCCAGCTGTGGGAATCGTGGTCACCCTTCTCGGGCTATTTGATGTCGTGTATGCATCCGACAAAGTAAGTCAGCTCCCAGAAACGTGGAGGCCAGACCACTGGAATGAAGTGAGATCCTCCGGATCGTTTTATCATTGTTGGTAGTAGCTGGTTACACGTGGCTGTAGTAGGATGGACTGTATTTAGATCGATCTCCAAAAAATTAGCTCAATTGGATAGATTTTATTTTTCCTTCATTATTAACTTGAATTTTGCTAAACACCAGTATTATGGTTGACAGTGTCAAGTGCTGATGGTTCTGTATTCTGATCAAATGATAGAGTAGTTATTCAACATTCCATTTTCATATTACTCTGAAAGACTAAGGATACACTTAAAAGCTGGTTTTCAAAAAGCAAATGGCATCATTTCAGGTTGTGCAAGTTGACTATTTGATCCCTAAATGAATCCTAGTATTTAGAATTTTAGAATAAGAATGATGATTATTATATGTGCTCATTATTGTTGTTATTACATACTCTGTACTTTGGTTTTCTTATAAGAGAACTGAATCTCTGAGAAATTCCTTCCCCAAAACACAGTATAGCCAGGGCTGGGGTTTTGGCTTAGGGGTAGAGCATTTGCCTTGCATGTGTGAGACTCTGGATTCGATCCTCAGCACCACATAAAAATAAACAAACAAAATAAAAGTATTGTGTCCTTTTGCAACTGAAAAAAAATTTTTTTAAAAGTATAGCCATATGTTCACCACTGAATTAAATATTTTAGTTTTTGTACTTACCAGAGTTTGTTTCTATCATAGTGGAAAATAAGATTTTGAAAAATATAGAAAAGTACAAAGAAAAATGTTAAGTTAAAAATCACTCCATGCAGCTGCGTGTGATGTCACAAGTCTGTAATCCCAGCAACTCAGGAGGCTGAGGCAGCAGGATCAAAGTTTGAAGTCAGCCTCAACAGCTTAGCAAGGCTCTAAGCAACTTAGTGAGACCCTGGCTCAAAATAAAATATAAAAATGGACTGGGAATATGGCTTGATGGTTAAGTGCCCCTGGGTTCAATCCCTGGTACCAAAAAAAAAAAAAAGGTGTGTGTGTGTGTGTGTGTGTGTGTGTACTTTTCTAAGTTTTTCAAAATTCCACAGGGACAGAAAATGGGAAAGTATAGGTCAAAGAATACAGAGTAGGAAATACGTAGGATCAAAAGACCCCATGTACGTGAGGACCATAGTTAATAATAGCATATTGTAATCAAGATCTTTGCTAATTGAGTAAATTATACCTGCTGTTATGTATGTGTCGGGGTGGGATAAAGGTGAGGGTGATAGATTGTTAATTTGCTCACAATAGCAACTATTTTACTACATATGTATTTTATTATAGCATGTCATATGCACCTTGCATATACACAGTCTTTTTTTAAGTAGTCTTTAATTTTACCTCTCAGAGATAAACAGTGCTAGTGTTTGGTTTATATAACTACTCTAATGTAACCAGTCCCTGACTGCTGGAGCCACAGTCCGTTTCCAGTTTTCATCATTGTAAGAAAGACACAATAACATTTATCTCAGAACTTTGACCCTAGGATATTTACTGTAGAACTGATAATGACTCTAGAGTTGTCAGATTCTTCAAATGACTTATGTACTTCAAATGTTTATGTGCTGGTAAAATTTTCTCATCTGCCACCTTGTGAGAGACATCTGATTTTTCACGACTGAAGAAATTCCTTAGGATTTATCATCATTGGCTTCATGAATAAATACCACATTAAATCATGGGCCCATATTTAACCCACATAGTCAAATAGTGATTAGTTCACTCTAGCCATTTTTCCTTATGAGCTGTGGTGAATAATGCTTGGTAGCTTTTCTGTTAGCAAATGAGTTAATGCACAGGGAGAAGTTATGTCATAATAGTAAGGATCTGAGTGCTCACTGTGTACTAGGCACTCTGTTAGTGCACATCACACATGCACACATTCACATATTCCACCAACAGCCTGGTGAGATAGTTACTTTCATACCACTTTACAGATGGGAAACTGGCTCAGAAAGGGGAAGGAACTATCCCAAAGGCACCAAGCAGTCTGATGCCAGAGTTTACACCCTAACTACGTCTGCTGCTTTATCAAATAAACATTCTGATTGCTGCTGATCATCAGTTTGTTTGTATGTGTCTGTGGCCCCCTAGGTCTGGTTGGTATTTTCATTCAGTTTTCAGGTGATATTCCTTAGTCTGTGTCATCTCACTGTTTTTTCTTTTTTGTACCAGAGATTGAACCCAGGGGCGCTTAACCACTGAGCCACATCCCCAGCCTTTTTTAACATTGTATTTAGAGACAGGGTCTTGCTGAGTTGCTTGGGGCCTCTCTAAGTTGCTTAGGCTGGCCTCGGACTGGTGATCCTCCTGCCTCAGCCTCCCAAATCACTAGGATTATAGGCCTGTACCACTGTACCCGGCCTCACTTATTCTTGGAATAATACTTCTTTATGAGGGGAGAAAAAGTTGAATGATATTAATAAGAACATGTTCTTTTATATTTTTCTTTATATGTTGCATACATTATACATTTATATTTTCTGAGAAATATGCATTAAAAAAGACCATGCTGGACTATAGGAAATAAAATCTAAATATTCTTTTATATCTTATCAGTTATAAATTAATTCTCCTTCATAAAGATTTATTGGTCGTCAAGAATATAGAAAAAGAGGCTGGGGATGTGGCTCAAGCGGTAGCGTACTCGCCTGGCATGTGTGTGGCCCGGGTTCGATCCTCAGCACCACATACAAACAAAGATGTTGTGTCTGCCAAAAACTAAAAAAATAAATAAATAAACATTTAAAAATTCTCTCTCTCTCTTTAAAAAAAAAAGAATATAGAAAAATACTTAATACTTTAATACTTAATACTTTAATACAGTAAATCTAGAAAAATATTAAAAATGATTGTATTCCAAATAAGCAATATCAAGATTGATTTAGTATCTAATACCAGTCGGGGGTGGGGGTTGAATTAAAAACTCTTAAGTCACCAAGACAAACGAAAGATTGAGGAAATTGAAACAATTTTTCAACCCACATAAGAGGCTAATCTCTCTTAATATTTTAAGGTATATCTATATAAATTACCAACCTAATATAAAAACAGGCAGTAGAGAGGAATAAATCCTTCACAGAAAAGAAAGTAAATGACTTTTGAAACTATATGAGAAACACCCATTATGAAAATGGAGAGAGAGGGCTGGGGTTGTGGCTCAGTGGTAGAGTGCTCACCTAGCACATGTGAGGCCTTGGGTTCAAGCTCAGCACACCACATTAAAATAAAGGTATTGTGTTGTGTCCAACTACAACTGAAAAATAACTTAAAAAAAAAAGAAAATGGAGAGATAATCCACACCAGAATATTATTATTTGCATGAGATTTACAGTGAGACTCATAACCTGAATATAAAAGACAACTTACAAATCAATAAAAAGAAGGTTAAGAGTCTAACTTTAAAAACACCAAGAAAAATACATAAGCAGTTCTTCACCAAAGATGTGAATATAACTAATATAAGTACATGAAAAGATGTTCAACATCATTGATCATTAGCAACATGTAAACTAGGACAAGGTGAGACTGCTCCACACCCATGAATATGGTTAAAATTAAAAGGACTTTTAATAATAAAGTATAGTGAGGAGGTGGAGCAAATGGGGCTGGTAGTAGTGTCCAGACTCTGCTATTCTCTTAAGTTCAGCGTAACTTTCCACACAACCCAGCAATTACACTGGTGGGTATTCACCAACAAGTACTGAAAACATGTTTACCCAGAGCTACCTTTTCACAACAACCTTATTTTGTTAGAATTATCTGAAAAATATTTAATTTTTCTTCAGCTTCATTGAGGAGTAATTGACAAATAGAAATTGTGTATATCAAAACAACTTGATATTTTTCTAAACAGTTTTGTGCACAAAGTACTGGAAACAATACCAGTGGCATTTCCAATGGCAAATGGGTAAGCAAATTATACAAATTATCCATACAGTGGATTTCTACTCAACAGTAACAAGAAGCAGGCTAATATGCAACAGTGTGGTGATTCCCAGAAGCTTTAGGCCAGGGGACAGAAGTGAGACTCAAAGGCTTTGGAACATAGGATTCCATTTATATAGCATGCTAGAAAAGCCAGACTACAGGGACAGAAAGCCAATTAGTGATTGCACAGGGATGGCAAGAAGGAAGGGATTGACCACCAAAGGCCATGTTAAAAATATACTGTGTCATTGAACAAAGACTTGAAAAGAGTGGATTTCACACTGCATAATCCTAATCTAAATTTTTTTGTTAAGCATTTTGAAATTATGATTAAGTGGTGATTTTTTAAAAATGGTTTTCTTTTCTTCCCCCTCCCCAAATAGGCAACATTTCACACTCCATTTAGTGAACTTGGCCAAAGCCCAGAGGGATGTGCCTCTTACACTTTTCCGAAGATAATGGGCCCCGCCAAGGTAACCTCTGGGAAGCTTAAAAGTAATGTTTAATGTTTCATTCCTCTTCCAAATATAACCCCATATTCTCTCTTCTTTCCCTTACTGATATGTACAAAGAGATAGAAACTATTTGACCTCCAACTCTAAGGGTTTTACAAGTGGAGGAACCAAGCTTTAGGAAGTGTCTGGTCTTAAAGAAAATTGGAAATTTTCTGCAACTTCCCAAACTGGGTCACTCCTTTCAGCTAGTTGCCTGATGCTATCTCATTGCAAGCAGCACAAGATCTTGTTCTCCACAGCTGTGGCATAGTGGGAGGACAAGGACTGTGCCCAGCCCCCTAGGTCTGCTCAGCTGAGGGCCACTTAGTTACTAAATGGATGAGCCACATCCACTGAACATGGTACACCAGCATCTTCACTTTCAGAGTCATATGAAATACTAGAAATGTGGGGCCTCGTGGATGTTTCCAAAGCCACTCCCAATAGCAACAGCCTTTCTGTCAGCCTGTTTTGAAAGATATTAAGAGACTCCCAAGCCACTCCCAAGTGGCTGCTCAGGTCTTTCCCTGTGGTTATGGAAACCTAGTTACCCATGCTTGGTACATGACTCCAAGGGATTGTGACACAGCTGGAGAGCGTGGCGTAGGGAAAGGCTTAGCCAACATGCTTCCTGATCTCAGAGGCCGGGGGTGAGATTGTGCCTGTTCATTGGCTGCTAGGTTTTTGATGAAAATATTTCTTCTTTTAATCTCATTTTGCTGCCATATACCCCAAATCATTATACAGGTTTGGAAAGTGGAGCAGAACCAACTTGAAGGCTTAGAGCACTTGGAATAGTGTTTGCTTTTCTGGAAGACAAATTGCAAACAGAGAAAGGACATCCACTTAATCATCTCATGGGCTTTTTATTTTTAGTTTTTTTTTTTAAGAAATGCAATTTGAGTCATCTTTACTTTCTTTAAGTCAAGTAGAATAATTTGAGTGCCTACATAGGTAAAGAAAACTGTCAAAGCTAAACCAGGGGGGAGAGGAAGATGGCGGCGAGGGGAGTGCATTGCCCCCGTGTGCTGCTTCACTGTGTGGGAGTATGACAAGTCAGGACGGCTAAAGGCTATCTTGTTAGGAATTTCCAGCAATAGTGGGGTGCTCCGGAACCTGGAGGAAGGATTTCCATCGCACAAGGATCGGCTACGGGGACTCAAACGCGAGAGGTTTGTCGCACGGAGGGTAACACTGCTTATTCAGCAAATCGCCCCGCGGCTAGAGTCTGCAGCGCGCGCTGGGAAACGAGGAGATAGCGACGCAGGGATACAGCGCTGCAGTTTCTGCCAGCCGTGCAAGCACCGTACTCAGGGCTGAATTCTGGGTTTGAGACGGGGGAAGGAAGCGGTCCATCTCGGTTCTCCACACCGGTCAGACCACAGAGGAGGCCAGCAGCCACCATGTTGGAAAGCTGACATCACCATCCCTGTTTTCGACTGACCGCAGCTCATTCAGCCATAGAACAGGTAATTTCAGGCTGCCATTCGCCTGCGGCTTGCAGACAGATTGCTAGGGTTCAGTGCCTGGGGGCTTCTTAGAACCTGATCTTATCGGAGCGAACACCCAGCGCGGGGCGGCCGAGTTCCTGCTCCCAGAACCGCCCTGGCCCAGGGCTGGGGAGCCTGCGGAGGCTGCTTCTTGGACCCTGCTCCTATCAGAGCATACACCAAGCACTAAGCGGCCGAATTCCGGCTCCCGGAACTGAGCCCGCGGGGACTGCTTCTTGGAGCCTACTCTTATCGGAGCTTACACCGAGCACGTAGCGGCCGAGTTCTGGCTCCCGGAACTGCCCTGGCCCAGGGCTAGGAGCCCACGGAAACTGCTTCTCGGTCCGGGTCCTGCTGAGGGCCGGTCAGGACTCACCCGTTGCTTTGGTTGCCCGGCAAGGGGAACGAAATGCTGCCATTCGCATAGGATACCAACATGGCAGAGATCTGATGTCATCAGAAAGCGGCGGAGGAGAGAACTTCATCAATACCAGCGGCGACAGAAACAGTTGGTCTCCTGGTAGGGGGGGTGAGGCACAGACACCCGAGTCTCCTCAATTTGTCGTCGAGCCAGAGGGGAGGAGCCGGGCCGCCGCCAGCGCCTGGAGCAGGCCCAGCGGCTCGCCAGCGTGGTGACCGCGTGACCCCAATTGGAGAGGGGGCGGAGCGGAGCCGCCACCCGCACCCGCAAGGTGGGCAGACCCGCGACCCAGTGGTACATGGGCGTGGTAGGAGGGGCAGGGCAGAGCCGCCGCCCGCGCTTGCAAGGTAAACAGACCTGTCACAGCCTGGCGGGTCAGGCCCAGTGGCCTGCCAGTGTGGTACACACATCACCCCAACTGGAGTAGGGGCAGAGCAGATCCTTCTCCCACGCCCGGATCAGGCCCTGCCGGTGTGGTGGCCACATGACCCCAATTGGAGTGGGGGCGGAGCGGAACCGCCACCCGTGCCCGCAGGGTGAGCAGACCTGTGACCAACCTGCGGATCAGGCCCAGGGGTCCGCAGGCGTGGTAGGAGGGGCAGGGCAAATCCGCCGCCCGCGCCTCCAAGGTAGGCAGACCTGCGATAGACCGGCGGATCAGGCCCAGGAGCCTGCCAGCGTGGTACAAACACCACCCTAATTGGAGTAGGGGCAGAGCAGAGTCGCCACCCGTGCCAGGAACAGGCCCAGCGACCTGCAGGCGGGGTAGTCACGACACCCCAATTGGAGTAGGGGCAGAGCAGAGCCGCCACCCGTGCCCGAAAGGTGGGCAGATCTGCGACCGACCAGCGGGACAGGCCCAGTGGCCTGCCGGTACGACAGACACGTCACCCCATTTGGAGTAGGGGCAGAGTAGAGCCGCCGCCCGCGCCTGTAGGGTAGGCAAACCTCCAACCGACCGGTGGCCTGCCGGCGTGGTACACTCGTCACCCCAATTGGAGTAGGGGCAGAACAGAGCTGCCGCCAGCGCCCAGAACAGGCCCAGTGACCTGCCGGCGTGGTAGCCACGACACCCCAATTGGAATGAGGAGAGAGCAGAGCCGCCGCCCGCGCCTGCAGGAAAGATATGCAAGCAGTATGAAAAGACAAGGAAAGAAAGGACCACAAGCAATGCAGGTCAACACAACTTTAGAAGAGGTAACAGCTGCAGCAGATGGAATGTCAGATAAAGAATTCAGGATATACATGCTTCAGATGATCTGGAGTATCAAGGAAGACATTAGACAGCAAAATCAGACAATGAAAGATCACTTCGACAATGAATTACGCAAACAAATCCAGGAAGCAAAGGATCAACTATACAGGGACATAGAGGTTATAAAAAACAAACAAACAGAAATCCTAGAAATGCAGGAAGCAATAAACCAACTTAAAAACTCAATGGAGAATACTACCAGCAGAGTAGAACACTTAGAAGATAGAACATCAGACAATGAAGACAAAGTATTTCAACTGGAAAAGAACATAGACAGCTCAGCAAGACTGTTAAGAAACCATGAGCAGAACATCCAAGAAATATGGGATAACATTAAGAGACCAAACTTAAGAGTCATTGGGATACAGGAAGGTACAGAGCTCCAAACCAAAAGAATGAGCAGTCTATTCAATGAAATAATACGAGAAAACTTCCCAGACTTGAAGAATGAGACAGAATCCCAAATCCTAGAAGTCTACAGGATGCCGAATGTGCAAAATCATAAGAGATCCACACCTAGACACATTATAATGAAGATGCCCAACATACAGAATAAGGAGAGAATTTTAAAAGCTACAAGAGAAAGGAAGCAGATTACATTTAGGGGTAAGCCAATCAGGATAACAGCTGATCTTTCAACACAGACTCTGAAAGCTAGAAGATCCTGGAATAACATATTTCAAACACTGAAAGAAAATGGGTTCCAACCAAGAATTGTGTATCCAGCGAAATTAAGCTTCAGGATGGAAGATGAAATTAAAACCTTCCACAATAAACAAAAGTTTAAAGAATTCGCAGCTAGAAAACAATCTCTTCAAAACATCCTTGGCAAAACATTACAGGAAGAGGAAATGGAAAATAACAATGAAAACCAACAGTGGGAGGTAGGACAGTAAAGGGGGGGAAATAATCAAAGAGGAAAAGAAACCATGTTTAGTAACAGAAATAAACAAATATGGCTGGAAGAACAACCCATATCTCAATAATAACCCTAAATGTTAATGGCTTAAACTCACCAATTAAGAGACACAGGCTAGTAGAATGGATCACAAAACAAGACCCAACAATATGCTGCCTACAGGAGATGCATTTGATAGGAAAAGACATACATAGGCTGAAGGTGAAAGGTTGGGAAAAATCATATCACTCATATGGACTTCGGAAACAAGCAGGAGTGTCCATACTCATATCAAATAAAATAGATTTCAAGCCAAAGTTAATCAAAAGGGATAAAGAGGGACACTACATACTGCTTAAGGGAACCATACACCAACAAGACATAACAATCATAAATATTTATGCCCCAAACAATGGTGCAGCTATGTTCGTCAAACAAACTCTTCTCAAGTTCAAGAGTCTAATAGACCACCATACCATAATCATGGGAGACTTCAACACACCTCTCTCACCACTGGACAGATCTTCCAAACAAAAGTTGAATAAGGAAACTATAGAACTCAATAACACAATTAATAACCTAGACTTAATTGACATATATAGAGTATACCACCCAACATCAAGCAGTTATACTTTTTTCTCAGCAGCAAATGGATCCTTCTCAAAAATAGATCATATATTATGTCACAGGGCAACTCTTAGACAATATAAAGGAGTAGAGATAATACCATGCATCTTATCTGATCATAATGGAATGAAACTGAAAATCAACGATAAAAGAAGGAAGGAAAAAGCATACATCACTTGGAGAATGAACAATAGGTTACTGAATGATCAATGGGTTATAGAAGACATCAAGGAGGAAATTAAAAAATTCTTAGAGATAAATGAAAACACGGACACAACATATCGGAATCTATGGGACACATTGAAAGCAGTTCTAAGAGGAAAATTCATTGCTTGGAGTTCATTCCTTAAAAAAAGAAAAAACCAACAAATAAATGATCTCATACTTCATCTCAAAATCCTTGAAAAAGAAGAGCAAAACAACAGCAAAAGAAGTAGAAGGCAAGAAATAATTAAAATCAGAGCTGAAATTAATGAAATCGAAACAAAAGAAACAATTGAAAAAATTGACAAAACTAAAAGTTGGTTCTTTGAAAAAATAAACAAAATCGACAGACCCTTAGTGATGCTAGCGAAGAGAAGAAGAGAGAGAACTCAAATTACTAACATATGGGATGAAAAAGGCAATATCACAACAGACACTTCAGAAATACAGAAGATAATCAAAAACTATTTTGAATCCTTATACTCCAATAAATTAGAAGATAGTGAAGGCATCGATAAATTTCTTAAGTCATATGATCTGCCCAGATTGAGTCAGGAGGATATAGACAACCTAAACAGACCAATATCAATTGAGGAAATAGAAGAAACCATAAAAAGACTACCAACTAAGAAAAGCCCAGGACCGGATGGGTATACAGCAGAATTTTACAAAACCTTTAAAGAAGAACTAATACCAATACTTTTCAAGCTACTTCAGGAAATAGAAAAAGAGGGAGAACTTCCAAATTCATTCTATGAGGCCAACATCACCCTGATACCTAAACCAGACAAAGACACTTCAAAGAAAGAAACCTACAGACCAATATCTCTAATGAACCTAGATGCAAAAATCCTCAATAAAATTCTGGCCACTCGGATACAAAAACTTATCAAAAAAATTGTGCACCATGATCAAGTAGGATTCATCCCTGGGATGCAAGGCTGGTTCAATATACGGAAATCAATAAATGTTATTCACCACATCAATAGACTTAAAAATAAGAACCATATGATCATCTCGATAGATGCGGAAAAAGCATTCGACAAAGTACAGCATCCCTTTATGTTCAAAACTCTAGAAAAACTAGGGATAACAGGAACATACCTCAATATTGTAAAAGCAATCTATGCTAAGCCTCAGGCTAGCATCATTCTGAATGGAGAAAAACTGAAGGCATGCCCTCTAAAATCTGGAACAAGACAGGGATGCCCTCTCTCTCCACTTCTCTTCAACATAGTTCTCGAAACACTGGCCAGAGCAATTAGACAGATGAAAGAAATTAAAGGCATCAAAATAGGAAAAGAAGAACTTAAATTATCACTATTTGCAGATGATATGATTCTATACCTAGCAGACCCAAAAGGCTCTACAAAGAAACTATTAGAGCTAATAAATGAATTCAGCAAAGTGGCAGGATATAAAATCAACACGCATAAATCAAAGGCATTCCTGTATATCAGCGACAAATCCTCTGAAATGGAAATGAGGACAACCACTCCATTCACAATATCTTCAAAAAAAATAAAATACTTGGGAATCAACCTAACAAAAGAGGTAAAAGACTTATACAATGAAAACTACAGAACCCTAAAGAGAGAAATAGAAGATCTTAGAAGATGGAAAAATATACCCTGTTCATGGATAGGCAGAACTAACATCATCAAAATGGCGATATTACCAAAAGTTCTCTATAGGTTTAATGCAATGCCAATCAAAATCCCAACGGCATTTCTTGTAGAAATAGAGAAAGCAATCATGAAATTCATATGGAAAAATAAAAGACCCAGAATATCAAAAACAATGCTAAGCAGGAAGTGTGAATCAGGCGGTATAGCGATACCAGACTTCAAACTATACTACAGAGCAATAGTAACAAAAACAGCATGGTACTGGTACCAAAACAGGCGGGTAGACCAATGGTACAGAATAGAGGACACAGAAACCAATCCACAAAACTACAACTATCTTATATTTGATAAAGGGGCTAAAAGCATGCAATGGAGGAAGGATAGCATCTTCAACAAATGGTGCTGGGAAAACTGGAAATCCATATGCAACAAAATGAAACTGAATCCCTTTCTCTCACCATGCACAAAAGTGAATTCAAAATGGATCAAGGAGCTTGATATCAAATCAGAGACACGCCGTCTGATAGAAGAAAAAGTTGGCTACGATCTACAGTCGGTGGGGTCGGGCTCCAAATTCCTCAATAGGACACCCATAGCACAAAAGTTAATAACTAGAATCAACAAATGGAACTTACTCAAACTAAAAAGTTTTTTCTCAGCAAAAGAAACAATAAGAGAGGTAAATAGGGAGCCTACACCCTGGGAACAAATCTTTACTCCTCACACTTCAGATAGAGCCCTAATATCCAGAGTATACAAAGAACTCAAAAAATTAGACAATAAGAGAACAAACAACCCAATCAACAAATGGGCCAAGGACCTGAACAGACACTTCTCAGAGGAGGACATACAATCAACAAGTACATGAAAAAATGCTCACCATCTCTAGCTGTCAGAGAAATGCAAATCAAAACCACCCTAAGATACCATCTCACTCCAGTAAGATTGGCAGCCATTGTGAAGTCAAACAACAACAAGTGCTGGCGAGGATGTGGGGAAAAGGGTACACTTGTACATTGCTGGTGGGACTGCAGATTGGTGCAGCCAATTTGGAAAGCAGTATGGAGATTTCTTGGAAAGCTGGGAATGGAGCCACCATTTGACCCAGCTATTCCCCTTCTTGGTCTATTCCCTAAAGACCTAAAAAGAGCATGCTACAGGGACACTGCTACATCGATGTTCATAGCAGCACAATTCACAATAGCAAGACTGTGGAACCAACCTAGATGCCCTTCAATAGACGAATGGATAAAAAAAATGTGGCATTTATACACAATGGAGTATTACTCTGCATTAAAAAATGACAAAATCATAGAATTTACAGGGAAATGGATGGCATTAGAGCAGATTATGCTAAGTGAAGCTAGCCAATCCCTAAAAAACAAATGCCAAATGTCTTCTTTGATATAAGGAGAGTAACTAAGATCAGAGTAGGGATGAAGAGCAGGAGAAGAAGATTAACATTTAACAGGGATGAGAGGTGCGAGGGAAAGGGAGAGAGAAGGGAAATTGCATGCAAATGGAAGGAGACCCTCAGGGTTATACAGTGGAGGGGGTAAAGAGAGAGGAGGGGAGGGGAGGGGAGAGGTGGGGAGGGGGGAGGGTGGAGGATGGGAAAGGCAGCGGAGCACAACAGACACTAGTATGGCAATATGTAAATCAATGGATGTGTAACTGATGTGATTCTGCAATCTGTGTATGGGGTGAAGGTAGGAGTTCATAACCCACTTGAATCAAAGTGTGGAATATGATATGTCAAGAAATTTGTAATGTTTTGAACAACCAACAATAAAAAATTAAAAAAAAAAAAGCTAAACCAGGTTTATCAGAGCTAAACCACGAGGTAATGGAATTTTGAAAATGCCTAGCATTTGACCCAGAACTGTGAGTTGTTGTTATTTAACCCTTTTTTGTAATCATTATAGTTTATAAAGCAGTAGGTCAGCTGCCGTGGTTCAGGTCCTTTCTGCCTTTGCCCATTCTTACCTCTTCAAACCTGGGTGGACAGAAATGGTTGCCCGTCTAGCCCTTGCAGAGATGGAAGCCTGCAGTGGTCTCCACACACAGTTTGCAAACTGTTGCCCCATTGAGGTCATCAGCTTCTCCCTCATTGAGAATATAAGCAACTTTAAAAGACCATGAACAAATCTTTGCCTTCTGAAAGCAGTCAGTTCTGCAGTTAACTTAAATTTTGTTTTTATTAAGGTAGTGTCTTAACTTTGCTTTTTATTTCAGGCAGCTGAGATGCTTATTTTGGGGAGGAAGTTAACAGCAGGAGAGGCATGTGCTCGAGGCCTCGTTACAGAAGTTTTTCCTGAAAGCACTTTCCAGAAAGAAGTTTGGACCAGGCTGAAAGCATATGCAAAACTCCCCACAAATGTAAGTCTTCACCTTTTACTTGTAGAAACCTTGAAAATAATTTCCCCAGGGGAAAAATGTGTAAACCTTAAGGGAATAAGTCATAAAGAAAAGACATTATCTTTAGTTGATTTTATTTTTATTTTTTTTTTTTAATTTTTTATTGTTGGCTGTTCAAAACATTACATAGTTCTTGATATATAGTTGATTTTAAGCACATCGAAATTTGAGGTTAAAAATAATTACTGTTAGTGCTGGAGCTGTAGCTCAGTGGCAGAGGTCTTGCCTAGCATGTATGAGGCACTGGTTTCCATCCTTGGCACCACATAAAAATAAATAAAATAAAGGCATGATGTCCATCTACAACTACAAAAAAAAATCTTTAAAAAAATAACTAATGATGTTGGAAATACTGATTTTTATAAAACTTATGAAATAGATATTTCGTTCCTATGGTACAGAGCCAAGGGGCAATTCTTTGTGGAGATAACTTTAGATTATAAGCAGTAGTTTCTGAGTTCTTTTACTTTGGAATTCAGATGAAAAAACAGAGAGGTTTCACAATAAGGAGATTGTTACTTTTTTTATATATGGGATAGTTAATGACTGACTGCTCTTTTATTCTTGCTATTCAAAATGTGATCCTGGAATCAGAAGTTTTAGCATTCATCTGGAACTTTTTGAAAACATATAATCATAGACCTGCCCCAGAAGTACTAAGGTGATTCATATGCACATAAAAGATTGAGAAGCACTGTCTTATTATTACACATGTGTCTTACAGGATTAGTTAAGTGAACATGGGAGAAATAAGAACCAGAATTACTGAATATCCCACTGCTGTTAGAAGAACTCTTAATCTTCCTGTTGGTTTTGTTTTATCAGTCCTTGAGGATTTCAAAGGAGTTGATCAGAAGTAATGAGAAAGAAAAGCTACATGCCGTTAATGCTGAAGAATGCACTGTCCTCCAGGGAAGGTGGCTATCAGAGGAATGCATGAATGCTCTCATGAACTTTGTATCCAGAAAATCAAAACTGTGACAACCACTTAGAGAAGAGTTAAGACCATCAAAGGAAGGGTATGCGGTTAGTGCTGATTTTAACTAAATAAACTTCACTGGGCCTTTTTCCAGTGCTATATGTCAATTATGATGAGAATATTTTACTTACAGCCCTAATGAATAAAAACTTATGAAACAAGCTTTAAGAATTCACGTAGGTGATGTTGGCCTCGTAGAATGAATTTGGAAGTTCTCCCTCTTTTTCTATTTCCCAAAGTAGCTTGAAAAGTATTGGTATTAGTTCCTCTTTAAAGGTTTTGTAAAACTCTGCTGTATACCCATCCGGTCCTGGGCTTTTCTTAGTTGGTAGTCTTTTGATGGTTTCTTCTATTTCCTCAATTGATATTGGTCTGTTTAGGTTGTCTATATCCTCCTGACTCAATCTGGGCAGATCATATGACTTAAGAAATTTATCGATGCCTTCACTATCTTCTAATTTATTGGAGTATAAGGATTCAAAATAATTTTTGATTATCTTCTGTATTTCTGAAGTGTCTGTTGTGATATTGCCTCTTTCATCCCATATGTTAGTAATTTGAGTTCTCTCTCTTCTTCTCTTCGCTAGCATGGCTAAGGGTCTGTCGATTTTGTTTATTTTTTCAAAGAACCAACTTTTAGTTTTGTCACACTAGTATGGCAATATGTAAATCAATGGATGTGTAACTGATGTGATTCTGCAATCTGTATATGGGATAAAAATGGGAGCTCATAACCCACTTGAATCAAATTGTGAAATATGATATATCAAGAACTATGTAATGTTTTGAACAGCCAACAATAAAAAATTTTAAAAAAATAATAATAATAAAATTGTTATTTAGGTCACAGCAAAGAAAAAGTTGACAGAAACAATTGGTACTGCTGTTATTTGCCATTGGTGTTCTCTGCGGTTGATAAAATTAAAAACTAATCTTTTTCTTTAAAAAAAAAAAAAAGAATTCACGTAGGTTATTGGAACTAGAAAGTCTTACATCTTTCGACATGAATCGATGCTGCCAGGAACAGTGGAACATTGTGCCTGGGATCCTGCTTTGGAAAGCGTTCACGGCTTTACACGCTGAAGTTACATTCTTGAACACCACTACAGCACTTTGACGTCCACACGCGGTGACTGACTGAATCGGGCCAAACATTGACATCCTTTGAATTACTGACTTGAGATCCTCGGTGGGTTGCATGTCCTTTTTCAGCCATCTAGCAAGGGAGCAAATGCAAGGAGCGAGTTACTAGAAAACAAATAAGAATCTTAGTTTCTTTTTTTCCCCCAATTTAATAAAGAGGCATGGAGGGGAAACGGGTTGTGTCATTGGAGAGCAGTGCTCCTTATTGGTATGGAGCCCTCCTTCTTGTTCAATGTGGTATTTTATAAGAGACACCTGACAAGGACTAGAGATGCAGTTCCAAGGGCTACAAAATTGGCATGGAATATTTTGCTTTTTTAAATACTTTTTTTTTTTTCCTTTTTGACCTTTCCTTCCAGAATCAGCTTCCAGATAAATAACCCACCAAACCTGTAACTTTTTATTTCTAATTTTTCTTTTTTGTTTCACTAATCATACATAAAATGTCCAGTCCTATAGAAAATATATGACTAGAAATAACCATTATGTCTGTTGGGCACTTACTAGTGCTTAATGCTCATCATTATATTTAATCACCCCCTACCAAAAAAAAAAAAAGATGCCAGAAATCTAACATGAGGTAAGCACTGTTGCTTTTATAATTGTCGATCTTAAGACCTAGAGATTGAAGAGATGGCTTGGATCTGGAAAGCCCCCCAAAGACTGATGTGTTGAAGGCTTAGTCCCCAACATAGCAGTTTTTAGAGATGGGGTTACCTTAAAATTGGGAATGTGATTAGATCGTGAGGGCTCTGACCTCATCAGTGGATTTATCCATTGATGGATAGTTTGATGGCATTATCGGGAGGTGATGGAAACTCCACAAGGTGGAGCTTGGTTGAAGGAAGCAAGTCACTTGGGGCATGCCTAGAAAGGCAAGTATTGTCCTCGGCTCATTTCTGACTCTTTGCTTCCTGAGTGCCATGAGATGAGCAACCTCCTCTGCCACATGCTCCTGTCACCTTGATATTCTTTATGCCTTGCTTCAAGCCCGGAAGCAGTGGAACCAGTCAACCTTGGACTGAAACCTCTGAAACAGTGACCCCAAATAAATCTTTCCTTCTCTGTGTTGATTTTCTCAGGTACCTGTCACAATGATGAAAAGCTAACTAACATACTTTCTGAGGTAAACTCCCAGTAAATACCAAATATGCAGACAAAAACCCAGAAAAAAGATAAAGTATGTTTAAGCCTATGTAAACATTATACAATATATTCATTGTGATGAAACATGACATTATCCCATTAATATGTACACTTTTATGTTTTCATATACCAGTGAAAAAATTAAAAACCCAGGCAGAGTTCCAATACCACTGTGACAGTATGTGTTAACTATTATCTGCCCACTAATTACAACTAAACCTGGGGAAAATAACTACTTAAGGATGCTGAGATTAAGCAAAAGTAGGTGGATTGTGAAAAGCATCAAAATTCAGAAAAGCCACTGCATAGAGATGATCTTCCCAGATTGTAGGAAGTAAATAGTTGGCTGAGTTTTCTCCTGAGCATGAGAATGCTACGTCCAAGGCAGAACCTCATTGTGAAGTGGAACTATGGTAACCATGGAATGGCCAACTAAGCAGAGGTTGAGGGAAACAAAAACAACTTTCTAGCCAAGAAGAGAACTCCTTGGGAGCTCAAGAGTGAAAGAAGAGAGTCACAGAGCAAAGAGAAAGAACTTCCCCCAGTTCTCTGTATGAACCAGTCCCAATCTTACGTTGAGGAATGAGACACACAAATCAACAAAGCAAAAGCTTTGAGAACCAAACTGGGATTTGAACGACCACCCAGAGGAAATCAAGACCATTTGTCCAAATCAAACCAAGTTGCTAAAACACCCAGAAAGAGGAAACATGCCCACAAAAGACCTGGGAAATCCTGGACTAATCTTAAGGGCTCATGGTCCCATTAACTAGCAGAGGTCTTGCAGTCTACAAAGACTGGGAGAGGGGCTATTTTTTCAAATGCCCAGTTTTTAATAAAATGTCATAAGGAATATAAAGAAGTAGGAAAAATAAACAAAATAATTATACAGATATTATCTTAAACAAGTATCAGGCATACCAGACTTTTAAAAGACTTTCAAACAACTGTCTTAACTATGCTCAGAGATTAAAGGAAAATGCAGAGAATTAAGAAAACCAGGAAATCAATACATGGACAAAAAAAAATAGAAATTGTAAAAAAAAAAAAAATTAAAATTCTTGGCCTGAAAACATAACAACTGATACCACAGGGATTCATTATAGTTTATAAAAGCAAACTCAAGCAGAAGAAAGAACTAACAAACTTGAAGACAGGTCATTTGAAATTCAAAAGGAAGGGAGAAAGGAAAAAGAGAACAGAGCTAAGGGACTTGTGGGACACTATTAAACAACCAATAAATGCTTAATGGGGGGTCCCTGAATAAGGAGAGAAAGGAGCAGAAAAACTATTTGATGACAAAATAATGGTTGAAAACTTAACCAAATTTGAAGAAAGGCATGAATATACAAACCCAAAACCTAAGGGAACTCTGTGAATAACCCAAAGACTCACACCAATACACATAAGACCTGAGAAAGGATAGAAGCAAAGATCATGAAACTAGCAAGAGAAAAGTAACTCATCATTCATGAGGCCTCAATAAAACTGTCATGGATTTTTATCAGCAAAAGGCTTGCAGGCCAAAAGCAACAGGATAGTATGTTTAAAATGCTGTTTAAAGGGGGAAAAACTGTCAACTGAGAATTTTATATCTTTGAACTGTCCTTCAAAGATGAGGGAGAAATTAAGATATTCCCAGACAAAAGCGGGGGCGTTTAGTACACTACAACTGCCCTATAAGAAATACTAAAAAAAGGGAGATCCAAGATGGCAGAATAGAGGAGGTCATGTTCCTAGCTGCTCCGTGATGTGAAACCAGAAAAGCAGATAGGCAGCTTCTCCAAAAGTGGAGGTACTGGAAACCTTCAGGAACACTGTAAGTCCACAGGGTATAAATTCTACTGCCTCAGATCCATACTGTTCGATGGATAGACACACAAAACAACATGAAAAGGCAAGGGAACAAATCATCCCAAACAAACCAAGATACTCCAATAACAGATTCCATTGACACCGCAGTGGAAGAAATGTCAGATAAGGAGTTTAGAATGTACATGGTTAAACTGATCTCTGTAACAAAGGATGATGTAAGACAGCAAATACAGCTAGAATAAGATCAATAAAGAGGTAGAGAGTCTGAGGAGAAAAAAAACCAAATTCTTGAAATGAAGGAAACAACAACAACAATAAAAACCTAACTAAAAAATCAATAGAAAGAATCACCAGGAGACTAGACCACTTAGAAGACAAAACCTCAGGCAATGAAGACAAAATATATAATCTTGAAAACAGAGTTGACCATGGTGAGAAGATGCTAAGAAACCATTAACAGAATTTCCAAGAATTATGGGATAACATGAGAAAACCAAATTTAAGATTTATTGAGGTAGATGAAGGCATGGAGATACACATGGGATGCATAATGAAATAATATCAGAAAATTTGCCAATTCTACAGAATGAAATGGAAAATCAAATGCAAGAGGCTTACAGGACCCCAAATGTGCATAATTACAATAGACCCACATCAAGGCACATAATAATGAAAATGACTAGCATACAGAATAAGGATAGAATTTTAAAGGCTACAAGAGAAAAATGTCAGATTACTTATAGGAGGAAACCAATACAGATCACAGCTGATTTCTCAACTCAGACCCTCAAAACTAGGAGGTCCTGGAATAACATACCAAGCTCTGAAAGAAAATGGATGCCAACCAAGAATCCTATATTCAGAAAATTAAGCTTTATATTTGAAAATGAAATAAAAATTTTCCATGATGATCAAGAATTAAAAGAATTCGAAGCCAGAAGACTGTACTTAGAATATTCTCAAAAAAAAAAAAATATTCCATGAAGATGAAGTGGGGGAAAAAAGGTGAAAACCAGCAAAGGGAGGAATTACACTAAAGGAATAGTCAATCAAAGGAGAAACTAATTCAAATTAAAAACTAGAAATAAGCCAAAATGACCAGGAACACAAATCATATCTCAATAATAACCTTGACCATTAATTGTCTAAACTCATCGATCAAAAGACATATACTTAGGGCAAAGGGGAGGGAGGGGGCAAGGGGTATGATGGTGTAATGAGTTAGACATCATTACCCTAAGTAGATGAATGAAGACACGAATGGTGTGAAAATACCTGGTGTACAATCAGTGACTTGAAAAATTGTGCTCTATATGTGTAATATGAAATGAATTGCATTCTGCCATCATGTATAACAAATTAGAATAATAATTTAAAGAAAAGTTCCCCAAAGTTATTGCTCATAAAACCCTAAAAAATGACAGAGCACTGCTGATGAGTCCTAGTGTTCTGAGCTCACTATTTTTTACATGACTATATATCTATTAATTGTATACATCTTTCAGTCAGTATAAGAATAATTTTTCTTCTTGATAATTAAAGCATCTAGTGTTAAATGTTTCATATTTATTATCTCATTTAATTCTTACAGTAACCACCCCATTTAGCACTGATTTTGCATTTTATAGATGAAGAAATTAAGGCTTATAAAGCTTATGTCACATACTAGCACAGGTGGAGCTGGGATTTAATTTCACTTCTGGAATAGTGTAATAAAAAAATGTGGGGAGGTTCTAAACAGACACTTCTCATAAGAAGATATACATTCAATCAACAAATATATGAAAAAATTCAACATCTCCAGTAATTAGAGAAATGCAAATCAAAACTAACATTTCATCTCATGCCAGTCAGAATGGCAGTTATCAAAAATACAGACAACAATAAATGTTGGTGAGGATATGGGGGGAAAGGCACACTCATACATTGTTGGTGGGACTGCAAATTAGTCCAACCAATCTGTAAAGCAGTATGGAGATTCCTTAGAAAACTTGGAATGGAAC